CTAAACCAAACGGCCAGGCGAGGCTCATGGCCATGAGCTGACGGATGCAATGCTTGGTTCATCCACTAGCGCAGCTGGGTTTAGGGTTTAGGGTTTAGGGTTTAGGATTTCGGGTTTAGGGTTTAGGGTTTAGGGTTTACTCGCGCAGCTGGGAAAACCGAAGGGAGGACCAAAGTTGACCAAGAGGTGGTAGAGCAAGTCGGCAGAAGGGAGATGTCCGCAGGTGTGCGTGTGGGTGGTTCTTCGAGGGCTCGGAGAAGCGCCTCCTGCTCTTTAGGGTTTAGGGTTTAGGGTTTAGGGTTTAGGTTTAGGGCTTAGGGGGAACCTGTAAGGATCTGCGAAGGGTAAGAGGTACATCATCTAGGGTTGCTCATTGCCAGTATTCCCACACAGGATACCCCATGTTTGCTTTCCCCAAGACTCTGCCTCATGTGCGGCCAGCTACCTACCTGAAAGCGTCCTAGACAGCGTGCCTACACCCCAAGATTTAAGGGGTTTTGGGGTTTGAGGCAGTAGGTTTGGGGCTTCAAAGGGTGTGGGGACTTTGGGGAGGCCTCGCCAACTTGTCCCTGCTCTTCTTCATCTTCCTCCACCTCCCCGTCGATCACCGTCATCACGGCCATGCTGCCTTTAAGACAAGACCGCACAGTGAAACGGGGGAATTCAAAGTGTAATGAGTCCACCCCTGATCCCTCTACCTCGAAACCCTCAACGTCGGGGCCCCCCCCATTCTACCAAAAAAGGGAACAGCGTTAGACGGTTTAGGGTTGAGGGTTGGGATGTTCCCCCCTTGTACTAACAGTCCTTAATAGGGACTATAAAAGGGGTACTATAACCCCTAATAAGGACTGTTTGTATAAGGGGCACATCCCAAACCTTGATCCATAAACCCAACACTTCGAATAGACGGTCGAGCTTCATCTTCCGTACGATCTTACTCAGGCAAGAAGGAAGTCCAAAGAAAGGCTTTAGGGGTTCAGGAATGGGGTTTAGGGTTTAGGGTTTAGGGTTTAGGTTTTAGGGTTTGGGGTTTAGGGTTTAGGGTTCAACACCGCAAGGACGAAGTCCCCCAAAAGCCACAGAAGGCCGAAAGACCTCTAAAACACACACGAGCCGTGAAGTCTAAACGACTGAATGCACAAGCATTAAAGGGCTTAGATTACCGTTAGATTAGGGTTCCCAAGCCCTTAACCCTAAACCCTGAAATAGGGTAAGAGCTCTCAGGGTGTAGGATTTGTGGCTTCTGCCCAAGCTGCTGCACCCCGGCTCCACGGTGGTCACCGAAGCGGTTGGTTCTTCCTTCACGTTGCCCACCTCTCAACCATTCAGGGTTGATCCCTGAACCCTAAACACGAAACGGTAGGGGTTATAAAGGCCGGTGGCCTCTTTATCTGTTACCCTTAGACCTTGATATAGCCCCTAGATACCCTCACAGGAACCCCCTTGCGCAACAGGAACCCTACTTCAACCAATATTCAGGTAGGGGTTTTAAAGCTTGGGGACCCCCTCTCAGACATATGGCACAGAACTTAAGATAGTCCCGCAAGTAGGCCCCACGCATTTCCGGTTTGGGGTTTGGGGTTCAAGGGCTTGAAGATATTTCGAGCTTGAGTGGCTTTGGGTTTGGGGCTTTTGGGCCTAAACCCTAAACCCTAAACCCTAAACACTCCAGGGTGTTCAGGCGTTTCGAGGGTTCAGGGCCTGCCCGGCAGTGGTCATGTAGAAACATGCCAGGTGAGGTCCGGGGCCAAGGCTGGCAATTAATTTCATTCATTTCATTACTTTAATTAATTTATTATATGTCATTAATTTAATTAATTTAATTAATTTAATTAATTTAATTAATTTAATTCATTGAACTAATTTAATTATTTGAATTAATTTAGTTAATTTAGTCTATTTAATTTCTTTAATTAATGTAATTAATTTAGTTAATTTAATATATGCATTAGGTTCCCGGTTTAGGGTTTAGGGTGTAGGGTTTAGGGCTTACGGTTTAGGAGCTGTTCCTGGGTTGGGGGGGGGTTAGTGTTTTCCTGAACACTTTGTCCCTCAGCCCTGAACAATGTAAGAGTCTGACTTGAGCTGCCATGACAAAACCCCCTGCTTCTATCCCTGGAACACCAAATGTGTAAGACCCTTGAAGGTTTTCTTGGGCTATATAGGACTCAAAAAAATGTGTCCCTTTTGGGTCCTCTTTAAAAGGATGCCGTCCTACATATAGGACAGTATAGGCCCCAAAAAAGTGGCCCTAACTTAGATAACTACCAGTGGTGCATGAACCGAAATAGCCCTAAACCCTAAATTAAACCCTAAACCCTAAACCCTAAACCCTAAACCCTAAACCCTAAACCCTAAACCCTGAACCCTGAACCCTGAACCCTGAACCCTGCCTTCGATGTGGCTCCCCGGCGCGCGACCTCCACGACGCGCGCCTCCAACTCCCGCAGCTGCGCGGTGAGCTCCTCCACGTCCTCTGTCATGGTTTAGGGTTTAGGGTTTAGGGTTTAGGGTTTAGGGTTTAGGGTTTAGGGTTTAGGGTTTGAGTTGGTATGTAGGATTTAGGGTTTAGGTTGGTGTTTAGGGTTAGGGTTTTCAGGGCTTTAGGGGTTTAAGGCTTTAGGGTTCTAGGGTGTTAGGGTGGTTTTTTGGTTTTGCGGTTTTTGGGTTCTTGCCATCACCACGCATAGTAGTGGCAGTGGTCGTGGTCGTGGTCGCGGTGGTGGTAGCAGTAGTGATGATACCAAACCACTAAAAACTGCGGTAGTATGGCTCTCAACAGCAATAAAACCCTAAACCCTGAACCCTAGTTAAACCCTAATAATCAAAAACTGAAGCCCTAGAACCAGCCCCAAAAGCCAAAACCTAAAAACCTAACTAAACCCCAAACCCTAAAATCCTAAACCCTGATGAAACTCCCAAACACCAATTGAACCCTGAAGCCAAAACCTCTAAACCGGTAATAATACCCCAATTGAACCCTCAAACCCGAAAACTCTGAAACCCTGACTACCCCTTACAACCCTTAAAACCTAGTTAAACACCTAAAACCCAAAACCCTACTTCATCCCTAAAACCCGAAAACCCACTTAATCCCTGAAAGCACAAAAATATTAAAACCCTCTCACTTGCTGAACTACCTGTTTATGGTGCTGCGCGCCCTAAACCCAGAACCCCAAAGCCTAAACCCTAAACCCTTTGTAACGTGACTCACTGACTAGGTCTCTCGATTGGCACTCCTCAAGCAGGTTGGGGTTCCGGTGCTCTGAAAGCTGAGGAGGTACGAGGAACTCTTCTGTTCGGATGGGCAAGGACAAGCTCGTTGCCTTGGAGCTCATACCCTAAATACCCCTTAGAACCTGAATCATAAACCCCAAAAAACCAGAAAATCCATCCTAACCAACCCAAAACCCCTAAACCCTAACCCCCCGAACCCTAATCCCCAAACCCCAAAACCCTAAACCGCCCCTAAGCCCCCAAGGCCCCCAAACGCCTGCTAATTCCCCTAAACCCTAAACCCCCAAACCCGAATCCCTAAACCCCTAAACCCCCAAAGCCCCCAAACACCTGCCCTTACTTCTCCAATAACCACGGAAACAAAGGCCAAACTTCATGAAATTTGCTAAGGCATCTGCTAATTGCCCTAAACCCTAAACCCTAAACCCTAAACCCTAAACCCTAAACCCTAAACCCTAAACCCTAAACCCTAAACCCTAAACCCTAACCCTAAACCCTAAACCCTAGCCCTAAACCCTAAACCCCCCAAAACCCCCAAACTACTGGCCAAGGCCTGCCGCAGCTCATCGCGCAGCTGGGCGATGTCCTGCTGCAGGCTCTGGAGCTCCGGCGCTGCGCCCGCGGGCGTCGGCATCGCTGTGGGGTTTGGGGTTTGGGGTTTAGGGTTTAGGGTTTGGGGCTGAGGGTTTGGGGTTTGGGGTTTAGGGTTTAGGGTTCAGGGTTCAGGGTTTAGGGTTTAGGGTTTAGGGTTTAGGGTTTAGGGTAACTAGCAGGTGTTTGGGGGGCTTTGGGGGGTTCAGGGTTTGGGGTCTAGGGCTCAGGGGGAGCCTCGGAGCCTTTGGCGATTTCGGGCTGAGGATGGCTCCGCTTTGCTTATGGGGGTGTGGGAGGGTGTGGATGTTTTTGGGGCTTGGGGCTTTGTGTGGCTTAGGGTTTAGGGTTTAGGGCTAGGGTTTAGGGTTTAGGGTTTAGGGTTTAGAGTTTAGGGCTTAGGGTTCAGGGCTTAGGGTTCAGGGCTTAGGGCTTAGGGCGTTTTGTGGTTTAGGGTTTTGATACTGGTGGCAAGTGTAAGAGCTCCCAGGGATACTTTGCCAGGAGGCTCGCTTGCTCAGGGCCACGGCGACGCAACGTGCGGTCATGAGGTAAGCTCCCTACACCGGAAACCCTGAACCCCTGAACTCCTAGACCCTAACCCCTAAAGCCCTAAACCCCTAAACCCAAATCCTACACCCCGAAACCCCGAAACCCTAAGCCTTTTGAGTCTTGGGAAACCCTAAGCCTTTTGAGTCTTGGGAATCTTCTCGGGGGCATCTGCTACTGGAAGGCTTGCGGCTTCGGGTTTGAGGTTTCGTGCCTGAAGACCTCGAAGCCTTAAGTGCCAAGAGCCCAAAACATACTCACCCTAAACCCTAAAACCTAAACCCTTATAAACCCAAAGCCCTGAACAACCCTGAGGTCCTATTCAAAGCACAACCACAAAAAACCTCGCAGTTGTTGGCAGGCTGGATACGAAACAGCGAAATTTCATTGAGGTTTGAGTCAAGGAAAGCGCAATATCACAACCCTAAACCCCAAACCCCAAACCCTAAACCCTAACCCCAAACCCTAAACCAAAAACCCAAAACCCCCAAACCCCTAAACCCTAAACCCCAAACCCTGAACCCTAAACCCCTAAGCCGCCAAACCCTAAACACAAAACCCCAAACCCTAGCCCTAAACCCTAAACCCCAAACCTCAAACCTCCCTGACCCAAGCTGAGGATCAGCCTTCGGCTGCCTTGCTGCCACCTTTGGCGCTCAGGGTGCTTAGGGGGTTTGGGATTTAGGGTTTAGGGCTAGGGTTTGGGGTTTGGGGCTTGGGGCTTTGGGGGGGGCTTGGGGTTTGGGGTTTGGGGTTTGGGGCTTGGGGCTTGGGGGTTGGGGGTTGGGGCTTGGGGCTTGGGGTTTGGGGTTTGGGGTTTGGGGTTTGGGGTTTGGGGTTTGGGGCTTGGGGTTTGGGGTTTGGGGTTTATATAGGTAAGTAGGTTGGTCCTTCAAACTTTGCAGTTTGGGTTTAGGGTTTAAGGGCTTCGGGCTTGGGGTTTAGCGTCTATATAGGGCTCGAACTGGGCTTTAGGGGTTGAGGGTTTATGGTGTGAGGTGTAGAGTTTGGGGCCTACGGCTTGGGGATTTGGGGGTTTGGAGGATGCGGTTTAGGGTTTAGGGTTTCGGGTTTAGGGTTTGGGGTTTAGGGTAAGGGTAATAAGCCCCTCAAGTCTTCAAACTTTCCTTTGGGTGCCCTGTGTCCATATCGAATCTAAGGGTAGGTACAGGATCCCTTAGTATGGGCCCTCCAAAAGGGGACCCCTTATATACCCGTTATACAACCCAAGGGCCAGAGAACCCTTTTAACGGAGGTAAGGGACCACATGAAGGACCCACGTAGCAGCCCTGAGATCGAAGACATTGCAAGAGTGATGGCCCGAAGCACCCTAAACCCTAAACCCTAAACCCTAAACCTTAAACCCTAAACCCGAAACCCTAAGCCCTAGATAAACCGCATTGCGCAGAAGTCCTGACTGGGCCTGGTCGAGCTTGCGCGCGGCCGGAGGGGTCACCTGGGGGGGGATGGAGGCGGGGGAGGGTAGGGCTTTGAGTTTAGGGCTGGGGTTTAAGGTTTAGGGTTTAGGGTTTAGGGTTTAGGGTTTAGGGTTTAGGGTTCAGGGTTTAGGGTTTAGGGTTTAGGGTTGAGGGTTGAGGGTTTGGAGGTTCAAAGGGGCAGACGGACCGCAAATTCAAAGATCCGAAGACGCCGCCATGCAGACATCTAAACCGTTGTTGAATCGGATCCCTTTTCAGAAGGGGTTCTGCTATGAGCACCTGGGGAGCTCGAACAAAAGTAAGCTTGACCCTAAACCGAAAGGTAACTACCTGTGAGGGAAACCAGCTCTTATCCCTAAACCCTAAACCCTAAACCCTAAACCCTAAACCCCAAAGCACTCTGAAAACCCGAAGACTGAACGCCTCGTCGATGAAGTTCAGCTCCTCGTCCGAAGAGTTCTGCCGCTCCACGTCCATGATCCGGGGCGGAGGGGCCTGTGCCTGGATCTTCCAAAAACCCTCATTGGGTTTACTTATGCCAAGGATCAGTTGTTACGAAATCAGGCTTACTGGTGCTGGACCCCGAGGCGGCGGGGACCAGGGAGTAGTCGGAGTAGTTTCAAGGGGTTCAGGGTTTAGGATTTAGGGTTTACAACTCGGAATCACAAGAGACGCAACAATATTGAAGGGTCAGGATGTACTAGCAGTCCTTTCACAGGGATGAAAGTACCCCTAGGACAATCCCTATTAGGGACTGTTTGTATATGGGGGAACAACCCAAGGTGTTTCCTACATCCCTAAACCCGAAACCCTAAACCCTTAAACCCTAAACCCGAAATACATACCCGAACAGCGGGATAGGCCCAAAGCCGGTGGCCCTCCTCCGAGGTCCCCAGAGTTTAGGGTTTAGGGTTTGGGGTTTAGGGTTTAGGGTTTGCCTGCTTGTGGGTGTCGGGCGCGTTTTGAGTCGAGATGTGGGGGGGGGGGGGGGGGGCGTGAATAAGGTGGCCCCTAAATTTGACCTTATGATAAGGACCCCCTTCAGGTGCCCCTAATATCGTACACCCCCCGTATGTTTCTAGTCTGGAAATGTGGAATGCAACAGAAGCGCGACTGTTGTCATGGATTAACAGGGAGCCCTAAACCCTAAACCCTAAACCCTAAACCCTAAACCGCAAACATGACAAGGGCTTCCAGGAACCTGATATCTGCGACCCTATAGCCCAACACCCTCAGCCCCAGACGCCCCAAACCTGATAAAACCCTCCCAGAACCATTAGGGGATAGGATTAGGGGGATCCTTGGGGATATAGACCCTCTGAATAAGGTCCTGTTTAAGAGAGCCAGAAGGTCCCCTTTAAGGGTCTCCCTTATCCTACCTAGCAACCATGAACCCTCTCAAGAAACCGGAAAACACCCCATGAACTTCGTAACCCTGCAAGCCCTTTTGGAAACTAGAAGCCCGATCAATTGGGATGTTCCCCCTTGTACTAACAGTCCTTCATAGGTCCCCTATGATCATCCCTATTAGGAACTGTTCGTATAAGGGGGAACATCCCAACCTATAAACCCCAAAGGCCCCAAGACTCTCCCGGGGCCACCTTGACGCTACCCGACGTCGGCCGCCGCGCCGGCGAGGGCGGAGGGAAGAAGGGCTGCGTCACTGTGGGCCGGTGCCTTACCATGTCTTAGGGCGCTTTGGGTTTAGGGTTTTGGGTTTAGGGTTTGCTGTGATAGGGCGTAGATGCTGTGAAGGTTAGGTTTCGGAACAAGCTCGAAAGCTTCGTGAGGTGCGAAGAGCAGCTTTGGCCCGATTGTGGAGGGCCATCTAACACTTTTCTCCCACCCCACGTCCAAGGCGGCAAAGCCACCCAAACCTATTCCTTTTAGGGTTTAGGCCTAAACTCAGACAAAAGTCCACTTCTAAAAACTTATTCAGCTAATTGCAGGAGGTCTCGAAGGGCGGGGTCGGGCCGGACACCCCAGAGGCCCGGAGCCAAGAAGGGTAAGGGGGGGGCCAAGGGCGGGCCTCACGGAGCTTGGAGCTCCAGGTTTAGGGTATACTGGTCCCAAGGAGAACGTGCTCCGGTACCGGCCGTGGGTGCTACCGACTTTCGAGCTGTGGGAGGCGGGCGAACGACCTGGGTCGGCTTGCGCCATCAAGGTCGAGGGGCTTAGGCGCCGCCCCCCAACTGTAGGGGGGCGGCCTAGGCTTTGAGTTTAGGGTTTAGGGTTTAGGGTTTAGGGTTTAGGGTTTAGGGTTTAGGGTTTAGGGTTTAGGGTTTAGGGCAGTGGGCCCTGCCGACTTCCCGCACTGGAACGCGGCGATCCTCGGCTAGCAAAATGCTCCAAATCCCAGGGAATCCACTACGGAAATTCCGGGATTTGACATAGCATTAAACTTTCTAGTTGCTGAGTACCCCTGGGCCAAAAAAGACTCACCTGTCAATTATGCTAGGAATATATATGTGTATATGTATATGTATATATATATATACCCCAAAAGGTTACAGGTTACCTACTCAGCTACTAAGTCTTACTAGCCCAGTAACCATACTGTAATAAGGGTGCCGTTTTTGGGGGGTCGGTTACTCTACAACGGAACCCAGATCCCCAAGAAAAGGGCAAAGGGCACCACTGGGCTACCAAGTGAAGCAACCCGTAACCCTTAACCCTTAACCCTAATTCCTAAACCCTAACTTAAAGACCAACACGAGCAAACATGCTGACGCAGGTTTGCACTTTGCACATCTCGAACACAATTTAAGGTTTAGGGTTTAGGGTACCGCCTTGTCATGTGGTCCATCACTTGCATGCTCACGTGCAGAAGTTTACCCTTCCCTCCCCCCACCTCGCACCAAAGCCCTCAAACCCTACAAAACCTAGGCCCAGAAGCCCTAAACCCGAACGCTGAGACGCCTAAGACCTTAAAACACTGAAGCCCTACAAACCCTCGAGTCCTCATTAATCTTAATCCCTCGATAATCCTAAGATCCTAGAACCCAAAACCCTAAAACCAACCCGTAACCACACCAACCCTAACACCAGCCCACAACCACACCATGGGGGAGGGAGCATGCATACGCAACATCATGTCCACCCATGACACTGCCATCATGAAAACTGGATGTCGATCGCGGGCACGATCTGGAACTTGCCTCTGTTCAGCTGGCTGGCCCGATGGACGATCGGACCGGGAAGTCCAAGGCCTCCTTTTCAGGGGCTCAGGCATCGGCACACTTGCGCAGGCGGCATTCAGTCTTTGTTCGAATCCACGCCAATGCTGGCTCGAACTCCTAAGGGACAGACCTAAGGGACAGAAACGATATACCAGAAACCCTAAACCCTTAACCCAAAGCCTCGAAAACCCCTAAGCCCTGAAACCTATATACCCTTAAACCCTAACCTAAACCCTACCCCCCAGCCCCCCAAGCCCCCCCCAAAAACCTAAACCCTAAACCCTAAACCCTAAACCCTAAACCCTAAACCCTAAACCCTAAACCCTAAACCCTAAACCCTAAACCCTAAACCCTCCGGGTTGGGTGCGGATCTCGCGTCTCCGCGCGCGCCGGCGGAAGCCTCTCCCTGCGGAGAGACCGGAAAGGCCCCGAGGGCTGTTTTGGGGCGGTTTAATTAGGGTTTAGGGTTTAATTAGGGTTTAGGGCCTAGGGTTTAGGGGTCTTCGAGGTTTAGGGGCAGAAGAGGGTTTAGGGATAGGGGTTCAGGGTTTGCGGGGGGTTTTGCGGGTTTGGGGTGGTTTACGGTTGTAGCAACATACACAGACGCCCCTCGACCATGCACCGAACCCGAACTACCCATAAATCTTTACGTAACCCTAAACCCTAAACCCTAAACCCTGTGTCAACCCCAGACACAGAACCCCTAAACCGTTAAACACCTCAACACCTTCCGAGCTAAAATCCCCCCAAACAACCCCTAAACCCCAAAGGCTGTGCCCCCAAACCTGCTGTCGCATTTATACCCTACCTAACCCCTAACCCCTAACCCCTAAACCCGAAATCCCTGTACGTTGTACCCTGCGCCCCCGAAGCCCATGAGCTCATGGGCCACATACACCTGCTCTACACCCTCGGTTGCGGCCCTTGTTGAGAAGGATGGGGAAGAACAAGTCTCAAAAGCCCTGAAGGGCATCTGCTCTGAACCTGAAAAACCCTGAAGAGACTCCACTTAAGCCCTAAAAGCCTCAAAGCCCTCCACCAACCCTACAGTAGCCCTAAACCCTAAACCCTAAACCCTAAACCCTAAACCCTAAATCCTAAACCCTAAACCCTAAACCCTAAACCCTAAACCCTAAACCCTAAACCCTACACCCCCCACCCCCCCCCCCCCCCCCCCCCCCCCAAAGGCCTGGAGTCGTCGCTGTCCTCCGCCGGACCCGGGATGTAGAGGCCATTCTCCAGCTCCTTGTGGTCGCCGCCACCTGAGGTCGTGGGGATTCCTTTCTGGGGTTTCGGGCGTTTAGGGTTTAGGGTTTAGGGTTTAGGGTTTAGGGTTTAGGGTTTAGGGTTTAGGGTTTAGGGGTGTAGGGTTTTGGGGCTGAGGGTTTAGGAATTTAGGGTTTAGGGTTCAGGAAGGGTTGTAGTGTTTTTGAGAGAGGGTGGGTTTATAGGCTTGGGCTTTCTGTCGAGGGCAGGGGGGGGGGGGG